TTTACATCTTATCACTGTACTGTACACATTACATAATGTTTATTAAATCAGCCAAAGTTCATTTCAATTTAAATTTTTACAGTATTTATATTTTTTTATTACCTTTGATCATTTTATTATATTATTAATACATTAATAATACTTAATTATATTTTGTAAAATAGGCATACGTTAATTATTTTAAATCAATTTCCAAATTTTATTTGTTAAACTGAATAATTTTTCATTATTTTATATTTTTGTTTTGTCTCTATAATATTAAATGTAATTAATGACAATTATATATTTATATATTTTTATACAGAAATAATAGACAGCAATTAAATGAATGAAAATAATTCTTTATTATATTTTATAAAATATGAATGTCAATTAATTTAAATCGGTTACTAAATTTAATTTGTTAAACTAAATAATTTGATGTAATATTTTATGTCTTAATATTAAATAGCATATATTTTTATACAGAAGTAATAGACAGCAATTAAATGAATCACTTAAAATAAATGTGATCATTTTAAATTAATGAATAGTAATTATATTGTACTATATAAAAGATATAAAATAGACATGAAAATGATTTAAAATGTGACATGCAATATTAAATACTAGGGATGCATCGATCCGATACTCAGGATCGGTATCGGCTCCGATATTGCCATTTTCTGTCAGATCAGGTATCGGTCAGACGACACCGATCCAAATCCGATATTGTGTGTATACCATTCTGTTATTGTTAAGCCCCACAAAAGCCACAAAAACATTATAAAGCACCATAAAGTTTTCGTTGTGTTGGTATCGGATCGGATCGAAATTGGCCGATACTCAGAATTTCTGGTATCGGATCGGATCGGTTCTAAAAAAATGGTATCGTTGCATCCCTAATACATGTTAAAAGTTATTACATTGTATTTTATATAAAATACATCAAATAGACATCATTTTTTAAATTAGCTTTTTAAGTTTTTGTATGTATATAATTTATATGTAACTTAGAATTAAATATATATTAAATTAAAAATATTAAATGCACTTCTTGTAATTATTTTAAATGTTTATATACATTATATATAACTTATAAAATATAAAATTGACATGAAAATAATTTAAATAATTTAAGTTTTTTTTTTTTACTTAAATTGAAAAGTGTGTGTGTGTGTAATAGGGTTTTATTATTCTAACTTAAAAAAAATTAATAAATATATATGTATATAAAAGGAATGTGCAGTACACTTTAAAATATAATACAAAATATATAATTTTTTATTTTTCTTTAAATGGATGAAAAAATAGCTAACACTTTATTTTAAGGTGTTCTTGTTACACGTTACATGTCCTTAATATTATAATAACAATAATTATGCATAATTACATGCAAGTAACCCTAATCCTAACCCTAACCATATAGTAAGTACATGTAGTTAATTCATATTACTCAGTACTTAAATGTAGAATTACACTGTAACAAGGACACCTTAAAATAAAGTGTTAGTTTGTTTAATTATAATATGGATTTCCTTTGTGTTTCAGTTTTTATGGAACAGGCCTGATCGCCGGCCACGGCTTCACGAGTCCAGAGCGCACGCCGGGTCTGTTCGTGCTGTTCGATGACGACCACTTTGGCTTCATTTGGCTGGAGCTCAAATCCTTCAGTCTGTACAGTCGGCTGACCGACCAGCTGTCTCACGCTCAGGCCCCCACCCTGGAGCGCTTCGAGGCCATGCTCCGCAACATGCAGTCATGGACATCCTGAGAGCAAACCTCACACTAGCTTTCTCATCAGGCACATCCTCTGGTATTACGCTCTGCACCGTCAGGGACCTCCCTGCTGACACACACACACACACACTCACTATAACACATATACACGCTCACACACACTCTCACTATAACACATACACACACTCACACACACTCACACACACTCTCACTATAACACACACACTCTCACTATAACACATACACATACACTCTCACTATAACACATACACACACACTCACACACTCTCACTATAACACATACACACACTCTCACTATAACACATACACACACTCTCACTATAACACATACACACACTCTCACTATAACACATACACACACTCTCACTATAACACATACACACACTCTCACTATAACACATACACACACTCTCACTATAACACATACACACACTCTCACTATAACACATACACACACTCACACACACTCACACACACACACTCTCACTATAGCACATATACTCACACACACACACTCACACACTCTCACTATAACACATACACACACTCACACACACACACTCACTATAACACATACACACACTCACACACACACACTCTCACTATAGCACATATACTCACACACACACACTCACACACTCACTATAACACATACACACACACACACACACACTCACACACACACACTCTCACTATAGCACATATACTCTCACACACACACACACACTCACACACTCTCACTATAACACATACACACACTCACACACACACACTCACTATAACACATACACACACTCACACACACACACTCACTATAACACATACACACACTCACACACACACACTCACTATAACACATACACACACTCACACACACACACTCACTATAACACATACACACACTCACACACACACACTCACTATAACACATACACACACTCACACACACACACTCACTATAACACATACACACACTCACACACACACACTCACTATAACACATACACACACTCACACACACACACTCACTATAACACATACACACACACTCACACACACACACACACACACACACACACTCACACACTCTCACTATAACACATACACACACACTCACACACACACACTCTCACTATAGCACATATACTCTCACACACACACACACACTCACACACTCTCACTATAACACATACACACACTCTCACTATAACACATAACACTCACTATAACACATACACTCTCTCACTATAACACATACACACACGCACACACTCTCACTATAACACACACTCACACACACACACACACTCTCACACTAACACATACACACACACACTCACTATAACACATACACACACACACACACGCACAGGTGTATTTACGCCACATGCCCGTACAGTTGTATTATATTAGGCCTTTCTTATCAGCTTTTTAATTAATTTATTTTTGTAACCTGGAAATGGCGATGAAGACAACAACAATGTGAAAATTCGGCCGTATACTCAGCTGAGCGTGCCTCTGCTCTTCAGACTCTGAGATCCTGTGGTTTTGTGCTTTAGAAATAATCTTAGAAGCGTTTTGTCCTCAATGCGGCAACATCTGCGGTTGCTTTTAAATGACTTTATTCAGTTTATTTCTTTATTTGTAAAAAGTCCACACCATATTTGGAAATGCTTCCATTTTTTTCCATCAGCGCTCACTGAAAACGAATGACTTCCAGCCGCTTTTTCGTTGCAAATGTTGTCCGTTTTATCACTCCATAATGCATCCATTAATATGTACACTAAAAAAGCCAACATTTGCTGAACATTTACTCACCCTCAGGCCATTTAAGATGTAGAAGAGTTTGTTTCTTCATCAGATACAGAGAAATGTAGCATTCCATCACTTGTTCACCAATGGATCCTCTGCAGTGAATGGGTGCCGTCAGAATGAGAGTCCAAACAGCTGATGGTTTAAAGTTAAATCGTCTTAATGATGGATTTGTTTCTTAAAAACATGCAGCTTTTCACTTTACCAGATGTTAATTGATGTACTGGAGTGGTGTGGATTACTTGTGGATTATTGTGATGTTTTTATCAGCTGTTTTGGACTCACATTCTGACGGCACCCATTCACATTCACAGGAAGTGATGTAATGCTAAATTTCTTCAAATCTGTTCTGATGACGAAACAAACTCATATACATCTCGAATGGCCTGAGGGCGAGTCAATTTTCAGCAAATGTTCAATTTTGGCTAAACTTTTCCTTGAATTTTTATCTATCATACTGTTAAATTTCCAAGCGAATAGCTAATTGGTTAGCCACCAAATTTTACGACCACGACGACAGTCTCATTTTCACGTGATAGTGATTCTGTTCCTCTAGCTGTGCAGCTCTCTTCCAAGTGCTCTTCCCTACGCAGCGGAGACATTCATCAGAGGCAGAATTACTCCGGCTATACTTTTGTATTTGACTGCAGCATTACTAGCATTTGAAAATTGAAAATCAGTATAATGTAAAGTGAATATATGTAAATGCATTGAAAATATTTAAACATTTATCAGTATATTTCAGCTTTGTTTTAGGGCTGATTGTATATATGATTGATGAACTAATTTAAGTATATCGCCTGTTGTTTTAAGTGTAATATTCTCATAGAATTGGCCGTTTACGTGGACTGATATCCTACAGCTATTGATATTATTCCAAATAAGATGTAATTCCAGCTGTTTATATTGGCTCATAGCTATTTGAATCATATTTAAAGGCATTTGTGCAACTAATAACTCAGTTTCTCACTTCCCAATGGATAAAATCAAGTTTTAGCCCCTTTTTCATCATCATGATTCACTGATTCACAGATTTAGGTCGACTTCAAGTCGGAGTTTCTCTCCATTATTTATCTATAATGATAATTTAGCAAAGCACTGTGCCTAAAACTGTAATTTATACATTTGTAATTTCCTTATTTTTAGTTTTGTAATTATATTGGATGTAAAACAAGTTGTCAGTAAGTGTGATAATTTTATGTGTAGCAAAACGTGAGTCAAGCATCCAATACAGGTGTTTATATTTGACGTTAATCTGCTGTTTGGAAAAAAAAAAAAAAATCTGAATATTGTCAATAGTTGAATTATTGTCATCCATGTCAATTTGCCAGTTAAAAAAATGTCAAAGCGCAAATTCATGACTAGTATGCACACGTTGCATTCAAATTCAGGGAGGTGTGCAGCTTTAGCCTTCGTTTGTTCTCAATAAAATGGAGGAAAAACGTGAATGTTGTCCGAATTTTTTTTAAGTGCAAAACATTAGTTGCTTAGACATTATTTGTACATTTTCTATCAAATCTGAACATTAGCAAAAAAATACACTCAGTGCTTATTTGATTTTCTCAGGTTAATTAATTAAATTCTTATGCTGAACAGTTCTTAATTTTTTTTCTGTGGCATCCATACATTCAAGTTCATTTCTAATGAAACACATAGATTTTTTTTTTTTTTACAGTTCTAAGTGCTCTGTTTTCTCTCGGCCTTGGCGTATGCGATCTGGAAGCGTCTTGGTCATGAATGTGTAGTGTTTCTTCTTCAGGTTCTTCCCAGTTTTCTGTTCCAGTCCAATGCCGAGATACTCTGCCTCATCCTCATATTCAGGCCAGTGTGTCAGACCCGGACCATTCGGAGACCTGCCGATCCAAAAACAGCCGTATTAGAGTGCAGAAACAATATACTTTGTTCTTCTACAAAAACAAGAGGAGCGATATTTTACCCGGTGTGTGCAAAGTTGCCCCAGTATCCCATCACAGTCCTGCACAGCTCTTCCTCTTCCTTTGTGAAAGGAGCTGAAAGATTGAACCATTAAATGATGATTCAGTGGTATTTAAAACCCTTTCAGAAAAGTTCAGTGTCAGTGAAGGATGTGTTTGTGATGACGAGTTTTACCGGTTGCTTTGAGGTGGGCTTTAGCGAAGCAGGTGCCCTGGATAAAGAAGAGTTCATCTGTGTGGTCGACGCCAACAAAGCTGGGCCTGTTCTTCTGGATCATACTGGGAGGATGCTGGAACTCGTACAGGTAAACCGGCGCTCCTGAGGCTACAATCACAACAGAAGACCTTTTATACTACTACTACTAATTATAATAATAATAATAAATGTTTTTTGAGCAGCAAATTAAAATATTAGAATGATTTCTGAAGGATCATGTGACACTGAATGATGCTGAAAATTCAGCTTTGCATCGCAGGAAACAATTGCATTTTAAAATATATTACAAAAGAAAACACTTCCTTTCAAATTGTAATAGTATTTCACAATATTACTGTTATTACAGCATTTTGCCTTGGTGAGCATAAGAGAATTTTAGTAATTATTCCAAACGTTTGACCTGTAGTGTGTATATATAATTTTATGCTACTATTTAAATTTAATAAACTACGTAATATAATCAGAATTAAAAATTATTTGTTTCTTAAATATTATGAAACCCTTCTTCCCACACAGTTGCAATGGTCCAATATGAATAAATGAATAATTGACTGCGTCTCACCGCTGTGGTATTTTGCCAGTTGGAGGGCAGGGATGTTGAACATCACGTCGCCCATCATCTCTCTGTAAATGTCTCGGACTTGAATGGGATCTCTCGTGTCGCCCAGGTACTCGTTCGCCACCAGATCAACGATCCATCGATCCCTGGGCTGATGGGAGTACCAGTCAAAGCACACAGGATTCAAAGAAAAACACACGGAAGCTACGTAATGTAAATGTGCATTGTGTTGAGTTGTGACTTACATCAGGATACGTGAGGGTCAGGCCCTTTATGGCTTGCTCTTTATTCATCCCATCAATCCATCCTTTACCCGCAAAATACTATGGAGAAATAGCATCAAAATATAAAACCAAATATGTGAATATGCTGTAAATGTGTCTGAGATCTCTGTATGCGTGTTGACTTCATACGATCTTGAAGACAGAAGGTTTGTTTCAATGACAGTCAGACAACATCTTTGATTCTAAGCGAGCGAGTTTGGAGTGTGATATTAAATATAGTAATAAATATTATTTTTACTCACTGCGGGCAGTAAAAAGCCAAACTCATCATCAGTAATTCCAGTGATGAGAGGAACTTTACTGAACTCTTGCTTCTGAACGATAGCCTCTACAGGTTTGGGAAGGAAATAAGAATCCAGAGCGAGACTGAAGTGCATCATCGCAAACTAGAAACATAGTGGAAACAATCCTCACAGTTACCATCCATTAATATCAATCACGTGAAATATAGGCTATATTGTACATATATTCTAAAATCACTTATATGATTACATAATATATGATATATTTTGAAGCATCATCTCTTGTGAAAAAATAAGTGTGCTTAATTGCATTGAATGTGCACGTAAAAGTATATTTAAAAAAATACTTGCAGATAATATAATATTAATTAAATAAAAGGGCATTTAAATATGCTAATTGCATTTTCATACAACATTTTCATTTCATTGTAATTAATATACAGTTAATTCAGTTCATACTTAAAGGGATAGTTCACCCAAAAATGATAATTTGATGTTTATCCGCTTACCCCCAGGGCATCCAAGATGTGGGTGACTTTGTTTCTTCAGTAGAACACAAACGAAGATTTTTAACACAAACCGTTGCAGTCTGTCAGTCTTATAATGGAAGTGAATGGGAATTCTCCTGAACCCACTGAAGAGCAGCAACCTGATCCAGAAAACCATAGTTTCCTGGCGCACGTTCATCTCCCGTGCTACAAAAAAAGGAATCTTTAATCTTAAAAACAAATATTTAACAGTAAAGAAAGCTGAGTTACTATGCTATAAATAAAAACCCATACCAGCGTGGATACACTTATTCCTCCGGCAGACTCTCCAAAGATGGTCACAGATCCAGGATCTCCACCGAAGCTGTGGATGTTCTCCTGAACCCACTGAAGAGCTGCAACCTGATCCAGAAGACCATAGTTTCCTGGAGCATGTTCATCTCCCGTGCTAAATGGAGATTAATCATATAAGAGGCTACAATTATTCTATATGCCTAATGGTGTGGTCACATTGAGAGTTGTTCAGCAAATTTCCATGACCGAAATTCAGTCATTTTAAAAGGAATTCATGCGAGTGGAATTTCACTAAATATTTCGCCACGTAGATTTAGCAACAGATTCATGTTGGCCACAGGGATTTGCAACGTTGACCATCAGAAAGCTGCTTGGTTTGAAAGTGACAGAATGTTATGAAGCACAAATCATCATTTGAGATGTGATGGAAATAACTATTTCAGACAAAAACACTGTTGAACAATGTCAGCAAATTAAACCACTTAGAGAGTGTGATCTGTAATTAAATACAGAAAAAACTGACTCACAACATACAAGTAATGCACCAAAATGATTTTTTTTAATGAAGCACCGAAACCAAAATTTATCAATTTAATTTAATCAAAAACTGAAAATAACGTTTTGGTAAATAATTGAAAATAAAATAAAAACTTGGTCAATAAAAACAGTTTCGTCTGATTTCGGCCCTCCAAAACTATTTCAGCCAAATATTTTAAGTGCATCCCTTATATTTATATGGCACAAAAACATAATAAAGCAATTTCATTGATTTAATTTGCATTAATATAACGACACTGAACATTTAATTAATATTTAAAATCCACACATTAGCTTTGGCATGTGTATTGCTGTATTAATGTATTAATGTGATGATAAATATTCAATATATTGATTACATAATTTAATTTGAATTACTAATACGTAATGAGTAAAATGTTGTTTATTTACAAAAAAAATAGGTCAAGAATTTTTTTTTTGTATGTTTTGTTTTTTTGTTAACCTACACTTTCAAAAAAAAAAAAAAAAATTAAGTA